CTCACCCAAAAACAACCGCGATCTATCCGATAAATCTATCCAAACTCACCTGGTTGGGCCCAAGTGGATGATGATGGTTCAGTTGCAGGCCTTGCTCAAAAAAGAGTGATAGATATTATATGATTCTACTGACTGCTGCAGGTAATGACAGACCCAAATCGAACCCAAGATCACCCCTGATCTATTCCAGGTCTCACCTGGCTTCCCAACAAGGATCAACAAGGTGTTCCCAACGCTGGCAGGACCGGCTTCGCGGCTTCTTCTTCCCCCGCACCCCCGCAGGGGTGTCACCACGCCCCAGGGGTGTCGCGTGTGTGTCCTCGTTCGCTCGACCTCGAGGGACGAAAAGCTGGGGACGAAGGACGAATGCGAACGTGTTCGCCCGGGAAAGGACCATCATCTCGTGGATTGCTCATGGATTTCTCAGAGGGTTCCCTGTTTTCCAAGAAACCAATGGAAGTGGAGAAGTCACCTCAGGGGAACGTCGTCTTTCCAGGGGCCATGTGCCACTTCCATGATTGTTGGAGGGAGGGTATATATTATATATATATATAGTTGATTAGTTCAAGAACATGGGAAGAACCATGAGCAAAGAATAAGAACATGTTGACGAAGAACTTTGTAGTTTTCTGATTTTGTGTGGCTTCGGAACAGCTGCGGTGGAAGAGAAGGGTCTCCAATTGGCCTTCTTCGCAGCAGGCATCTTCCCTGCACTCCCGGAAACGAAAATGGACCCTGAGAAGGGCGCCCTGAAAGACTGTTCTCTTCTACATCTTCTACAAACCGGTGGTTTTCAGGGTCCATGTGAGTCTGCAGGTTCTCAAGATTGGGAAGTTGAGAAGTGCCACATCCGGTCTTTGGGTGGGCTTTTCTTCTTCACCCGACCAGTCTACACTCACTACACCCAACCCTGGTGGCAAGCAGGTCAGTCTACACCCTCCGCACCGTTGACGGTGCTGCACACGGATATACACATTCCTTTTTGCTCGAGCGCAGCGTCCGCCATCGCGGTCTGTGTCGCCCAAGCGCGGTCGGCTTCGCGTTGCGGAGGTTCTTCACGTCTGAGTGATGGGGCTACAGCCAGGCTATTGATATCCATTGCAGCAAAATGTGTCCACATGTGGTGACATCAGGCGGCAAGATCTGGGCATCAACACAAACAAACAAATAACAGCAAGGCACTTCTTACACATGGTTCTGACTATGCGGATCTTGGGGCTGGCGCAATGTACATATTTATGTACAGTACATATACGGTACGTACTATGTGCTATCGTACGTGCCATATAATATATAAATACAAGAGTCACATATATATATATATATACCCTCCCTGAAACAATCATGGAAGTGGAATGCAGCCTGTTCATAGAGGAATTCAGTCTTGCAAGGGGCCTTGTTCCACTTCCATGTTTGTTGGATGGAGGGTATATAAACACAACAAAAAGAACACCATCAACCCTCAGGTCCAGCGTAGCTGAACATCTTGTTCCAAATGAGTTGGATACCCCATACCCATCCATACGCCTCGTTTCATGTGGATTGGGCCTTGACAACCCTACTTTGGCTGAAAAGACATGCCAGCAAACGTTGAGGTCCTGTCGAAGTCCACAAAATGTGGCATAAACATCGTATCTTGGGAATCCCCCTCTGGAAGCTCCTCGAAACGCTGGGCATTGATGCTGAAGAGATGCTCTCAGATTGATCCGGGAACGACACCAAAATATCGTTGGCTTGCTGCGGTGGCTTGATTTTTTGTATCTAAAGCATTTCAATCTGGTCTGAGGTCTGAGGAGCGTGATCCTGACAGTTCAGCAGTTCCGGCGTTTCTCTCCAGCATTGCCCGGGATGAAGTCTGCTCTGCGAGGCTTAGGGAAAGCTCGCGAGCTCCGAGCCGCTTCCGGGTCACTGCTTCGTGGAACGAATGGATCACCTTGGACTCAGTGCACGAGGCAGAACGAAAGACAAAAGTCCGAACTTGGCTCGGTACTCCTTTTCACTGGCGGTGGGTCCGCGCGAGCACGTAACAGTAACACGTGCTTCTTTCTCTCAGGTCCACCAGTGAAAATCAACCAACTAGCAGGAAGTTTGGAAGTTTCCCTTTTTTCACCCTTTTCCCTTCAAAGCCAGTTATGCAGCTATGCATCTTAAGGGTCGACATCAAACATGGTCGATGGGTTAGTGTCATCCACAGATATGCTATATGACAACGGAAAGGATCAATCCTATCTCACCGAGCCAGCCGTTGCAGGCCCCTTGGATTCTTACTTGCAGAGTCCAAAAATGGTTTGACATGTTTTGACCTTCGTTCTTCTGATCTCTCCATTGGCTGGCGCTATTTGAGCAATGACATCCTACGAAATTGAACGAGGACCGCATAGCTTGGGAAGCTATAGGCATCCTCAAGTAGATGTCATGTGAACCTGACCCGCACCGTCGCGTCAGAGCCTGGTATCGATCTCGTGCTCGTACTCCACCTCGACCTTGCCCCTCCGCTTCTTCCGCGCCGGCAACGAGACCTCCTCGAGGTCGTTCATGCCTCAGCTCCGATAGAAGGGCAGTCGGACTGGCCGATAGAAGGGCGGCCACCTGGTCACCCTCCAAAAGAACAAACCCCTTATTTTGGATTCCGGCGTCCGGAAGGGGCTATTTTACAAAATATGGCGACACCGGTCAAACACGTTTTTCTCATCTCCAAAACCACCCCGGAACCCAGCCGTCAAAACCCTTTGGATCTCAAAGGGTCCAAGGTCGCCCTCCACTTCCACCTCTTCCACCTGGCCGGAGCTGTTCACCCGGTCACCCGGTCGGAAACGACGGCCCCCCGGTCTCCTGGCGTCAAAAACGGTGGGTGGGTTTCCAGGTTGAACGATCCATCCTCTTATATACACTCTGACTCACTAACATGGGAAGTGGAAAACCACCTGTTTGTAGACGAACATAGTCTTCACAGGGGCCATTTTCCAATTCCATGTTCCATGTAAGTGAGCCAAAGTGTAAACCCTAAGCACCAACACCTGCCAGAATCTGCCAGGGTTGAAAATAGACCATTGGGGAATGATCGGGTTCTTGTCATCCGTTCTTTTAGAAGTATGACAGTACCATGACAGTACTATGACAGTATGGCTCCACTCAGGGCTGAGACTCAGGGTAGGTTAGCTTCATAAAGAAAATCATCAGGGAAACACCCCCTCAGCACTTGGAAATGGTCCAGAATGATGGCTGCGGCTAGCACTGCAGAACTGCGGCTGAACGACACACTCAGAACCAAGTTCACAGTGACGGTGGTGCGAATGAAGTTTGGGGTGGAAACCTTTACTGGTATCAAAGTAAATGGCACAATCGCCCAAAGTTGGTTTATATATAGACCCCCATCTAACGGACGTCTTGAGGGTTGTACCATGTTGTACCATCTACTCTGAAACCACCGTGTATTTTCTTGGGGGCTGACTGTCTAGAACAGTCAAATCTTTTCGTTACAGCGTCTCAGAAGTCTCGGCGTCCGGTTGGCCTTGTTGTCAATATCTTCCCACTCCTCATCATCTTCTCCCAAGTCCTCCACGAACTCCATATCACTCTCATCCTCGTCCTCTCGGCATGCGAGTAGCGCAAGGTTCGATGCACATCGTGGCATGTGCGTACAGTAGCGCTGTTTCAAGCGCTCCGTTTTGTCTGACATAAACAGGAGAAGACCGGTGGAAATCCACAGGAACGACCTTTCGGCCTGCTCGACCGGGTGTCTGTCAGATTCATGGCCCCAGGTGGGATGCGTTTATGAGCGTTTATACCACTATGGCGACCGTTCAGGAACCAACATCAAGTTCACTCAACATGGAAGCTCACCCCCCCGCTGGCTCTGCTTACTCTTGGTGTTGTACAGGACCCTTTCGAGGAAACATCTGTCCTGCAGCTCTTGCTCTTCATCTTCCTTTTCCATGACGCTGTCGAAGTTCTTCTTCGGGAAGTTGTAGATGTCACCTGCCACGACTTCCCACAATGAGGTGAAGCCATGAGGTGAAGAAGTTGGAGTTCCGGTGCCTTTCACGTGGCATGAGGTCCTTGAAATATACATGAGGAGTCTACCGGGCGTGACAGCCACGGCACAACTGCGTGACAGCCACCGCGTGGTCCAAACATGTGACAAGTCTGCACGCGCATCGCATCCAACAAAAACTGCACGCACAGCTGGTGTATCGATGCTGCAAAATGGGCATCTTGCTCAGTCAGCAAACGCTGTTGGCACCACCTTCATAGCAACAAACAAAGTCATCCAAACATCCAAACAACGTCCTCAACACAAACCGATCTAGATCGAACTCCGACTATCAAAACAATTCAATACATATCAAAGTAGCACTATGTAGCACTCAGACCGTTTGTAAAACTCTTGCGCCATTCCAAACTTGTGATCGCAACAGTTGCGACACCAAGGTCCCTTACACAATCCCAAAGACATGTCTCTTCAACCACGCCCTCCAAACGAACACATCCTCATGCCAAAGTGCCATAGGTGCCCTGCTTCAGCCGCTCCAGAAGCTCTCGCTCGATGGCTAAGTCCACTTTGGCCGCACTCTCCGCCTGTGTGCGGCGATCGGGGCGAGCGGAGTAGCCTCTCAGCATGGCATAGTTTGGTCGGGTGAAGGTGTTTTGGAGGAGAAGATTGTTTTTTTTGGGCCAGGCTAATTCATATTTCTGATCTCATGGCGTCCTAATTACTCTTCATTCAAAGTACAAGTCCTTTGGGGCATGTGATGTTAGCAGCTCCTGCCCAAAAAGTAGAAAGCTAGTAACAAGCACACACTTAGCTGGACCAATAGGTTGGAAAACTCCCTCCTGAGTCCCTCCTCCCTCCTCGCTCATGTCGCACGCCTTCAACTCTCTGGTGGCTTCACGCTTCTCGGTTTTCTTCTTGATGGGCACCAGCTTGGTACCCCCTTTCAAGGAAAGCTTCCGCATCCTCGACTGAGAGGTCGCGAGACCGTCTAAGCGAGAGTTAGAGTCTAAGCGAGACCAAACGAGACTTCGCGACGGGTGGCGGCTCCAGTTTTGGGGGATCCACCCTGGTGAAAGACAATCATGGACCTCCCTACCCTGGGCAACAACCCCTAAATCTTTCTGGAATACCGTGGAGCACTTTTGTAAGTCTCCAGTGGGTTCAGGGTCTGTTACGCCTGTGGGTGGATAGAATTCGGCACCAACTTGGTAACGATTGATTAGTATTGTCTAAACATGGTCATTAATCCCAGGATGCCCCAGGTTCCCGAAGTGCACGGAGAGACATGACACTCTGTCCTGATCAACATCTGCCTCATTTTGGTCAGCCTCTGCTTGCAACGGTTGATCACACGATCTGGCCAAAACTCCTGAGAGCCGTGAAGCACACAAGGCGATAGGCGGAAGGCGATCGACGAGCAAAGCAGGATCAAATTGTACAATTCAAATCCCATGCAGTTTTTTAAATCAAAATCTTACATCAGAACTTCCATGAATTTTCTGTAGATTCAAGTTGCCTCACCTGTCGCCTCGCAGCTCTCCAAAAGGTCTGTTCTCTGGTCCAAAAAGCTTCAGCCGGTCCGGTCGTGAAGTCCGGTCCGGTGCCATCTACCAAGGCGCTAGATGCTTGCTGATCTGCTCCAGGGCCTGTAAGAAGTTCCGACTCAGCTTCACGCGCTCCCACAAATTCCTGACGTCCCACGCGGAAAAAAATGCCTTCCAGACCTGGTCTGACCGATCTCCTTGAGTAGTTCTTTTGTTTCTTTTTTTTTGGGTATGACCAATTCCAGCAAAATGAGGTCATTGACCTGTAGGGAATTGATTGAACTTGTACTCCCTGAAATTGATTTGACTTGGTTAAAGATGGATGACATGATGACATGCCCACTGCTATCTGAAGAAGACCATGCTATCTGAAGACCAACGAGGTGGTGCCATCCAAGATAGCCCATGGCCCATGCTCATTTCACCGTCACGAGTCTATCCATGGAAGTCTGGCCAAATTGACCGGCATGGTCAAAGTGCGAAGTGCGGTGAGTGGTGAGTGAAAACAATGTGAACACCTCACCACCCAACCCATGGTTTAGGTTGACATCATTTCACATCCCTTCTTTTCAGGCTTCTGTTCATCTGACCGGTTTCGGGTGCCCCTGTGCCATGACCCACAGCGACGTCTGAAGTCGCCCTGAAAACCTGAAATGATCTCAAGTGGATCGAAACCACGATCCCAACGCGGTGCAGCTGTGCCAGTACTTCTGTTAACAAAACAAAAACATGATTCAGCTGATGCCGATTCTTGGGATAGTTCTGCATGATTCGATCGACCAAAACCACCAGGACCATCCGACCGTCTGGGTGTCCTGTTTTTCAAATCAGTAGGTAGTGCATGGATGGGTCCAGGTCTTTGTTACTACTTGTTTAATCATATATCGTATATCACATGCCAGGACCCGACTTCACAGGTCACCACCTGCGACTCTCTTGACTACTACAAAAGCCATTTCGGCGACCTGTAGAGTCAGTCAGGTGCTGGTACGTCGACGCTCGGTCCCGTCCCAGCATCTTGGGTGAATGCGCCCGCTCCACCGTCTTCATGTAGAGATAATTGATGCCTTCCTCCTCGATGATGGTGGCATATTGGCTGTTCGCCAAGGGGCAACTCATCTTGTTGCACAATCCATTCACGTTGTAGGGGTTTCGGCCTCAAGAGTGGGTTAGAGTGGGTTAGAGTATGTTATAACATGGTTGTGGTGGCTGGGTGACATGAAACACCTAGGGAAGAATCCGTAGCCGTAGATATTCTATAATTTGAATGCCATGACCAAATTAAAGTTAGGCCCCTGGTTTTCGTAGGAACACCTGGACGACCCTTCAAATTCCATCAAGATGCTGTACTGGCGCAAGGTGCATGACAGGCATCCAGCCATTCTTCCCACTCAAAGGTGGGGGTATTTTGCAGATGTGTGCTAATTGAAGGCCCGCTTGCAAGTGCATTAAGGCATCATACAAGGCTATTTTGCTCCACACTCCCTGGAAGTCAAGTGGGGCTCAATTGAGCGGCCCTGCCTCCCACGCGATCCCACGCAGACTTCCCGAAGATGTCATGTCCAATGTCCCTGAGGTTCTTCCCACACATTGTGACCACCTGTTCATCCCGTGCGTCCTCCATCATCCGGTCACCGAACAGACACCGGCGCCTTCCGTTTTGGGGGGCTCCCCAAGGTCACGAACTACGGTCCGCGAGTGGCGATGCAGGTCGTCGATCGAACGTGTGGAGCGTCACCCCACCGAGCTGCAGAAGTCTTGCTTTGGCTCCTCGCGTAGGCCGCGCATGCGCAGGCGCGGGCGAAGGATCACAAGTTGATTCGCTTTCTCTTCCTTTTCGCCTCTGGAAGGGACATCACAGTGCTTTCATGTTCCCTTCATCACCTTCGAAAAGGACACGTGGGCACATGGAATTGCCACATCTGCCGGGGGGTCCAACGAAGGACGCATGAACTTGATACCCGTTGAATCATGCCAAAAGGTTGAACTCAGGATTCTATTCTATGAAGTCCTTTGGGACTGAGGGGATTTCCTTATATTTTAGTGGCCCAAGGTTGGATGCAAAACACTCAATCTTTATTTTAGCTTTTAAATTCTGGACCAAGGCGTTTCTAAAGTCCTGGGATTGAGGTTGGTACCTGTTTGTAAGACATCAGTATGATTCATAATTAAATCCGGTCATTGATCCTGACTAAGACTTTTCGATTCAGAAAGAGCTTTATTTTTTGAATGAACCGTCTGTACTTGAAGAACCGTCTGAACTGCCATCTCGATTTGCCTTTTTTGATCCTTTTGCCGAACCAGGTCCTCTCTTTTCACTAAGAAAACTAGATATATCTAATATATCTGATTTTGCAAGCCAACAAATGCTAATGATGCAGCTGGCCGCGGGCAGCATCATTCAAACCACGTCAACTCAAAACGGACGAACAAGAAACCTTCAATGCTCTCTTTCCACTACGCCTTTACCAAAGCATGTTCAAATTCTGGTCAGCAGCAAATTTGCGAAACAGTAAGTGGCTTGGGTAATCGATAAGGATGCTAAAATTGTCACGTGCCTCCGTTTAACTCCTTAGTCACTCGACGGTAGTTTAATGAAATCCCACCTTGACCTCCAACTGGAAAGCAAATCCATTTATAGAATCCTGTGTCTAAGCTATCATGTGGTCTTTTAAGTCAGTCATATCATGAGTTTACATACTTTTCTGAAATTCTGGACAAAGGGTAATTTTGGAATTCCCGATAAACAATTTACTCGTTATGAAGTCCTGGACATACGTGATTTACAAACAAAGAAATTGTAATATTTATATAGTGCGGCTAAGCCGCCACATTTTAGTATGGATTACCGCACGGGTATAACTTGATTGAACTTGTTCCTTCAGCTTCGGTCCAGAACGCGCACGCGCCGTCCTTCCATCTCACCTTGAAGGAACAAAACCCATTCTCGCCCAAACAGGCCTCGGGTCTCGTCACCGGAACTCCTTTGCTTTGGGTCAAACGCCGGAGTGACCTCCACCCCTTGGCATGGGAAGCTGTGGATGCCACGGCCCCAATGCCTCGGATGCCTCGGCTGCCTGGTGAACTCCAGGACAGCATGATTCCGGGGAGTGTACACTTTGACTCACTAACATGGAAGTGGATGGCACCCCCTGTTTGTAGAGGATAGTCGTCTTCCAGAGTCTTCCAGGGTCCCATTTTCCACTTCCATGTTAGTGAGTCATAGTGTAAATCTCACTTTCTTCCAGAAAAACGAGGGAGTCACTACTCACTACTCCACGTCTTGTTGATTCAGAATCTCCGGATCTGCCTCTAAAATCGAGCTCTAGATTCTAGCATATTGAGCAAGACCCTCTTCATGCAACATATGCATGTGTGCGGTTCCAAGATCGGCAACACTGATGATACTGATGGGTAAAATGGTGATACTGACAGGTAGAATCTTTATTCACTGCTTCGGATATGAGACATAACAAAAACATACAGAAACACAACACAGGAGGCGAATGGAGGCGGCAAGTATGGATCCTCTTCATCTGAATGGTCGAACTTGGCAACTGCAACGTTCCCGAACCTGGATTCTTTTCCTCTCTCATCTTGATGCACCCCAACCGAACATGATCATCTCAACTCCCAACGATGCCACAAGGCCCAAATGGTCTCGTCGTTGTGCATGGCTGATCACAGCAGGTAATCGGCTGATCGCCCGACGGTCCTAGAGTCGTAGACAAGACGGGGGTTTCTTTTCACTGATGGAGGAGGGTGCAAGCACGTCTCAACTTCTTGAGCAATGAGTTGACGGGGGGTGCAGATTACTAAGAGATCTCATGACCAAGGGCTTATTAGTTCAATATCTAGCAGCTAGCATGAGTACTATCTGAACAAGACCACTGCAGGACTGTAGGGTGTTTGAGACTGTGTGTCAACAGCTGGTCACTACCAATACTGCGGTGCATCGAATGATTGCCAAGCCAGTGCTGAGCAAAAGGCATGTGCGCGGCGCATGTGACTATGATCTGAAATCGACACAATCCTAAGCTTTGGGCACGGCCTCTTGAACAAACCGCGGGGGCACCTGCAGTGGCTGCCACCCTCTCCTCGATCTCTGGTTGCTTGGCTGTGTAACGAAACCGAACCGCCTCACACCAACGGCACGCCGGCGCCACCCGACGGCCGAGCCCCCGGTGTGGCGAACCAACGCGGCGCCGGTCCGTCGGTGGAACCTGGGACCTTGGAGCTTCACAACGAAGACCCTGGCTGACTCTCATGTTCTGACCCTTCTCAGGCCTATAGAACAAACTTGGGGTGAACAAGAACCAAAACATATCCCGTTTCACTGCCGGATTCCAGGCGAGTCTCCGAGCGGCTCTCGAGACTCTAGGCCCCTAGGCTTCACAAGCTCCTCAAGATTGCACTTCACAAGCTACTCACCAATGGGTTGACAAGTTGTCAAGGCCAACCAGGAAATTGCCAATACTTAGAGCAACTTTGCCATGCACGTCCTTGTGGCTTTGCCATGCCATGCTTGCACCCCCCCCGACCCCCGCTGGTTTCCGGCTCCGAACGCGTAAGTCTGGGGCGTCCCAGCTCCGAAGATGCCGAGGTCGAGGCGTCCGTGGCGTCCCGAGCACGTTGGACTTCCTGGTGCGACCCCTCGGCCCGGTCAGTCTGAAGGTCCACCGATGGCCCTACTATGAAGTAGAGTTGTCTCACAAACGTGGACAGCACTCATGATATCATATATATAGAATATTATATGATACCTACATTATATTACTGTATATATATATATACTAGTATATCATTATATATACAAACACGTTCCACACAACTTAGACCCTATATGGATCCTGTCACATGCTCATGAAACCAGATTGGGTCTGGGTCATGGTTCTCGGATTCAATTAGACGCGCCTTAGACTAGCCTTAGACCCTCTTCGAACAAATCCAGCAGAAACCGACTTTACCGCCCCCCCTCACACATGCTCCACCTACCAGCTTTTGGTTAGAAGCGAGACTCTCCCAACCTCCCAAACAGCAGCCTTGGCACTGAAAGAAGGTTCTCCATGTCCTTTTCTTGCTTTTCCTTGGTTCTTCCACACATTTTCCCTTTTTCCCCCTGGTCCGCCCCCCCGGCTCGTCCACGGACTTCCGCTCGTCCTCGCGGAGCATCCGTGGCATCTTGGACTCGGGTCTCGGGCGTTCACCCTGAGGAGCAACGTGTGTCGTGCCGTGACTGGAAGCGATGGGAGGGTCCAGGGTCCGGGGTGGGTGATGTAGGTTGGGGGGGGGGAACTTTGGAATCTATAGAATGGGTATGAAGAACGGAGAGTGAACATGTAAGGACTCATTGGACTCATGTTGTTGTGCACCATTTTCTTGACTTTCTTGGTAACTTAGGATGTGGTTCAAGATACAAATGAGATGCATGACCCTTCATGCCGTCGGTGTCAATCAAACTAGGAGGCTCCTGATGAAGGAGGTTTCTACCTTTGCCCAAGGAGTCAACGATCTCGTCACCTCTCAGGTTTGAGACATGTGCAAAAAAGATGCCAAAAGACCTCCAAGACCTTCACCAAGGCCCAAGTACCAGGAAGAAGCGGAACAAACACCACCCAAACGCAAACACTTTGCACTCTGTTCAGCCCCACTTGACCGGTACCTCGTTCTTTTGCTTGTTATGCATCTTACATCCCTCTGTTTCATCGGATAAACCGGCCAAAGCCGACGACTTGTGCCTAGTTGGCAGATCCAGTTCTATCCTCATCTTCTGGCAGCAACACCGGTGCGACCGCGGATGACGCGGTCTGGGCGGCCGGTCGGTCCCGGCCTGGTCAGACTTCTGACTGATCCGCGTGTAGAGGTCTTTCATCAAGGTCTTTCGCAGCACAGCCCGCTCTGCCGCGGTCCCGATGTCCTCGCTCCCCCATGCCATGCGCTGTTCACCCCGACTGTTCAGCCTGAGGTTTCTCGGGGAGCGCGAACTGTTGTTCGCTGCGGACGGGTCAACTAGGAAGACTCATCGACTGAGAATGACTGAGCCACCTAGACTTCTGAGTGGGTCTTGATAGATTGACAGGTATAGGTCTTCATGGTCCTTCTGAAACTTGAACACTTGT